AGCCTATTGGGCTCTATCATAGCTACACTTGAAACTGTGTATGGAGTCAGCCTCCACCACATTGCTTCCTAATGCATTCCATTTGTCAACCACTCTGACACTAAAAAAGTTCTTTCTAATATCTCTGTGGCTCATTTGGGCACTCAGTTTCCACCTGTGTCCCCTAGTGCGTGTGCCCCTTGTGTTAAATAGCCTATCTTTATCAACCCTGTCGATTCCCTTGAGAATCTTGAATGTGGTGATCATGTCCCCCCTAACTCTTCTGTCTTCCAACGAAGTGAGGTTTAATTCCCGTAGTCTCTCCTCGTAGCTCATACCTCTCAGCTCGGGTACTAGTCTGGTGGCAAACCTTTGAACCTTTTCCAGTTTAGTCTTATGCTTGACTAGATATGGACTCCATGCTGGAGCCGCATACTCCAGGATTGGTCTGACATATGTGGTATATAATGTTCTGAAAGATTCCTTACACAAGTTTCTAAAGGCCGTTCTTATGTTAGCCAACCTGGCATATGCTGCTGATGTTATCCTCTTGATATGAGCTTCAGGGGACAGGTCTGGCGTGATATCAACCCCCAGGTCTTTCTCTCTCTCTGACTCTTGAAGTATTTCATCTCCCAAGTGATACCTTGTATCTGGTCTCCTGCTTCCTACTCCTATCTTCATTACATTACATTTGCTTGGGTTAAACTCTAACATCCATTTGTTCGACCATTCCTGCAGCTTGTCCAGGTCTTCTTGAAGCCTCAAGCTGTCCTCCTCTGTCTTAATCCTTCTCATAATTTTGGCGTCGTCAGCAAACATTGAGAATGTTTGTGTGTGTGTGTGTGTGTGTGTGTGTGTGTGTGTGTGTGTGTGTGTGTGTGTGTGTGTGTGTGTGTGTGTGTGTGTGTGTGTGTGTGTGTGTGTACGGGGGGCATGTAGGACGTCTATTGGATGGAAGGTGGGGGTTGGTGCTCCTCTCATTGGGGCTGTTGAACTGGTTGTGGAGGGTTCCCCACTCCCCTCTGGGATTGCAGGGTTCGGGCTTGTGGTTTCCTGATTCCTTTCTCTCTCTTTCTCTGAGCTCCGTCCTTGCGGCTGCTGCCCTCATTCTCTCTTCCCGTGTCATATCCCTCTGCAGGAATACTATTTTGAACCTCGGTACATTTACTAGTCCGCTCTTCCTTGCTAACAGGTCCTCTTTTGTGTTCTCACTCGTGAATACCACCTTTATCAATCGCTCTCTGTCCTTGTTGTTATGTGTGTATGTGTGTGTGTGTGTGTGTGTGTGTGTGTGTGTGTGTGTGTGTGTGTGTGTGTGTGTGTGTGTGTGTGTGTAGGGGGCCATTTGATATGTGTGTGACTGCTAAACAAAACCCACCACTCAACATGTCAGGACATAAACAACCCAAGATGCTAAGTGTAGCAGCAGCACTGTGCTACACTTAGCAATAAAGCGTCCACCGTCACACTACCGACAACAACAACTCTTTCCGATCCCACGATCGTCGTCGCCCCTAAATCAACACAACAACAACTCTTTAACCTCAAACTGTTCTCTTCTTCAGAGTACTTCTTTCAGGGTAGTAATGAAAGCCTCCAGACGTACTGTGGTCCACAGACGCCAGCATCCCCGACGCCACACCTGGTGTCGACGCCACACCCGGTGTCGACGCCACACCCGGTGTCGACGCCACACCTGGTGTCGACGCCACCTTTAGAGCGGGACACTACAACTGTCCTTAAGCAACGCACAACACAATAGCAGCGATATGACCCTCAGAAATACCTTTTATAAGGTAATTAAAAAATCGTGGACGATAAATTAGATGATAAACAATTTAGCTGAGTAATCACGGCGTTAATGAGGCATTTAGAGCAAGGCGCGTGCGTGCGCGTGTGGGTGTGGTGGTGGGAGATGGAGATGTTAATATTTAATTCCAGTAATTTGCGTGTGAGTTTGTGTTTTTGTATTACCTGTGATGTTATATCTTACACACACACACACACACACGCACACGCACACACACGCACACACACACACACACACACACACACACACACACACACACACACACACACACACACACACACACACTAAATGGAATGCATTAGGCAGTGATGTGGTGGAGGCTGACTCCTTACACAGTTTCAAGTGTAGATATGATAGAGCCCAATAGGCTCAGGAACCTGTACACCTGTTGATTGACGGTTGAGAGGCGGGACCAAAGAGCCAGAGCTCAACCCCCGCAAGCACAATTAGGTGAGTACACACACCGTGGGCCCTGGCGGCTAAGTGGCTGCGCCTGGGGGTCGTAGTCCTAATGGCCCGGGTTCGATTCCCGGCCGAGGCAGGAACAAATCAGCATATTTCCTTCCACCCTGATGCCCCTGCTCACCTAGTAGTAAATAGGTACCTGGGAGTTAGACAGGCTGATTCCTGGATGTGGGAGTATTCTGTGTTAGAGAGAAATGTATGTAGTAGATATAATAGAGGGAAAATAGATTGGTTAGAAAGGCGGGGCCTGTTACGTACCCTTATAAGATACGTAAGTAAATATATTAATATGTACAGTTATAATTGTGTATAAATTACAAGCATGTATATTGTTATACTTATATGTTCTATGCAAATGCACATTCATGTTACAGTGTTGGCGTTAGGCCCAACGTATCGTGGGAATGATTGTTTTATTTCTTTGTGTGATCAGTTTTCCCACGGGAACTAATGATTTATATGTGATCATAAGTGGGTAACAGAGGTGAATAATAATTGAGTGAACTGTATCTGGCAAATTGTCGTGGGATCGTCCGTTGCTGGTGTGCATGCCATTATTCTCTTCTGTATGCATATTTTAATTACTATGTAAAGAAACACTTACTTTATTTGTGTATATCAATATGTATTAATTATTCATTAAGTTAGTTTAAGATTACTCTTGTCACAATGTATTGCTCCATTGTTGAAATAAATAATATTGTAACTTTGGCAAATTGTTCGCGGGGCAAGGCAATGTTTTTTGACTCTCGCGTTTTGTTATTCAGTAGCTGAGCAGGAACCAGGGAGATAACAACTTGTTGGAGTTAAGTTACATTTTTGTTCTGTCATAGCCATACATATAATATTTTAATTTAATGTCTGGAAGTTACAGTGATATTTTTAATGTGATATATTGTGACCATATAATCATCTGTTTGCTATTGAGATTTATTTAATATAATTTTATATAATATTGTTGTATCTATTCTTCAGTCCTATGAAGATTTTATTTTTGTGCTCATTACTTATTAAGGGGTTATACTGGTGATTCGCTATTGAGAACAGCAGTTGTGTCGTATCCCTAGACGTAATTAAAGTTTGGCTGCTGTAGAGTCACGAGCCTTAACGTACGATAGGTAACAGGGCCCAAGAGCTAATAGCTCGGTTCAGCAGACACCAATAGTCAAGCCCCACACACACACTGAAGAGGTGGGTAGGGAGCTACAGCTTGACAAACTAGGAGCGGGTACATCAATTTCTGTTGGAATTCATTTCAAATAAGTGCAATTTACTTATTTTATTTATTTATATACAAGAAGTTACATTGGGCAATGAACATAGGTCAGGGAGACAGGAGAATAGGAGTAATAACTCTTTATTTACTCGAATAACTCACAACTATAATAACTATAATAACAAATTCTAATAACAAATAAGAATATTATTATTATAATAACTCTTAGACATAAGGGTAATATAAGAATAAGAGAAAAACAATAAAAGACCCGGGAGCAGACATAACACTAAGACGATAAGCTCACGTCAAGACGATAACATCAGCGGCATGTGAGACGTTACCAAACATAACAACATCATTTAAGAGTGTAAACAAAGAGGCCTTCAAGTCCAGACACACTGCCTATATGAGACCATTACTTAAAGAATGTATACAGCACCAGCATGGAACCCAAACATCGTGAGGCACAAACATCAGTAACTTGAGATGTTGCGACGAGATGAGTACCAGACTTGAAAGAACCGAGCTATGAGGACAGGTTGAGGGAACTCGTCATCACAACCTTAGGTAGAAGAAACATACGGGATATGATCACTACCTACAAGATTCCGAGAGGAATGAGCGATGTTGACGAAACCAAAGGTAGCATAAGGAAGCATCAGTGGAAACCAGATATACAATTGAGTAAGGAGTTAAAGGAGTTAGGACTTAGGAGGGGATTTAAAGGAGAGTTAGGAGGAGAGTTAAAGGAGCAGAGTTAGCAGTAAGGAGTTAAAACTGTCGCTACCTGTACGGGCGAACGACAAGTAGAATGCATTAATGACGGACAGGTTAGTGAAGCCAATTCCTTTTCACAATTTCAGTAATATATAAAAAAAATTATTAAAAACTAAAATGTTGAGAGAAGTGATTAATGCGTGAGGTATAAATGGTTCACAGGCCATAAAGCCATTACATTCCCTGCCTTAGTCATTGACAGGTCAGCAGACTCATACAGTAATTAAGCATAATTTAGGTCTCCTCATTCTCACTATCATTCTCATTCTTACTATCATTCTCAATTCTTACTATCATTCTCAATTCTTACTATCATTCTCATTCTTACTATCATTCTCATTCTTACTATCATTCTCAATTCTTACAATCATTCTCATTCTTACTATCATTCTCTATTCTTACTATCATTCTCATTCTTACTATCATTCTCAATTCTTACAATCATTCTCATTCTTACTATCATTCTCTATTCTTACTATCATTCTCATTCTTACTATCATTCTCATTCTTACAATCATTCTCATTCTTACTATCATTCTCAATTCTTACAATCATTCTCATTCTTACTATCATTCTCAATTCTTACTATCATTCTCAATTCTTACAATCATTCTCAATTCTTACAATCATTCTCAATTCTTACAATCATTCTCATTCTTACTATCATTCTCAATTCTTACAATCATTCTCATTCTTACTATCATTCTCATTCTTTATATAGGGTATGTTAAGACCAGGACGACTCACCTTTCATCACCCTGTGAGCTGTAAAGAGAAAAACAAAAAACGTATTAATTTGGATAAGTGTTTATTAACGTTGTGAAGGGCAGCAAGGACAAGATATAATGATGAATGTTTGATGCTAAATTATTGTTACCAAAACTGATCCAAACTTACAAGTTGACACAATATAAGCTTACCAATACATTAAGGTCTTATTTAATTACTTACTTACTTAAGGTCAATAATATAAGGTCTTACCAATACATTAAGGTCTTACTTACTTACTTAAGGTCAATAATATAAGGTCTTACCAATACATTAAGGTCTTACTTAATTACTTACTTAAGGTCAATACATTAAGGTCTTACTTACTTACTTAAGGTCAATAATATAAGGTCTTACCAATACATTAAGGTCTTACTTAAGGTCAATAATATAAGGTCTTACCTACACATTAAGAACAAGATGGACACACCATAGCCCAGCCCACACACACACACAAGGGTGACCCTGTGGGTCCTCACACTCGAGGCTAGGATAACTGCTAGGCTTATCCAAGGCCCCCCCACCCCCACCCCCTCAGGCCTATAGCCTTCCCCAGGATGCAACCCACAACAGTTACCTAACTCCCAGGTACCCATTTTACTGCTAGGTGAATAGAGGCATCAGGTGTAAGGCCTCCTACACCAACTACACCTAATTCTCAGGCATATATATTAACTGCTAGGCGATCAGAGGTTCGCTAAAGGAATGATACATAATCGTTTCTGCCCCTGTCTGGGGGGGGAGGGGCAAGAATCCCGGATCCTCGGTTATGAGTCGAGAACGGAGACCACTGCGCTACAAGGCGACGTCTCAGCCCGCAGCCCGCCCCAGACAATCATCAAGGAGGAACTAGACATGATAACGTCTCCTTACAGAGCAGTGACTATAACCTATAACACCATATATATATATGTATATATATATATATATATATATATATATATATATATATATATATATATATATATATATATATATATATATATATATATATGTGTGTGTGTGTATAGCTATTGAACATCAGATATATTTGATCCGTCAGACATATTATATTCAATCTCGTATATCCGATAACTTATGCTCGTGAAGGGGAAGGGGGGGGGGGGAATTATGAGGAGGGGGGGGGGGGAAAGCGCCAAGTCATTACTACTATATAGCACTTGGAAAGGGGTCAGGATAAGGATTTGGGATGGGACGGAGGAGGGGAAGGAATGGTGCCCAACCACTTGGTGGACGGTCGGGGATTGAACGCCGACCTGTATGAAGCGAGACCGTCGCTCTACCGTCCACCCCAAGTGGTTGGGCTTAAGTTCTTGAAGCCAATCTCCCACCACGTGACAACTATTGTAGTAAAATGTTATGATCCAGAGAATTGATAGGCCTAAATTATCATGACAGTTTATGAACCTCATGATAGACCTACAATGACCGGGGCAGGCGACAGGCCTACAATGACCCAAGTATGCTGCGGAATACATTCCGGGTTCGATCCCCGGTGGAGGCGGAGACAAATGGGTCAAAATGTTTCTTTCACCCTGATGCCCCTGTTACCTAGCAGTAAATAGGTACCTGGGAGTTAGACAGCTGCTACGGGAAGCTTCCTGGGGGTGGAGGCCTGGTCGAGGACCGGGCCGCGGGGACACTAAGCCCCGAAATCATCTCAAGATGATTTGATGACTATCAAGATGACTATCAAGATAAGATAGTGACGTTAAACTCCGTACACACACACACACCCACACACACACACACACACACACACACACACACACACACACACACACACACACAGTGCTGAAGGGAATTGATAGGGTAGATAAAGACAGTCTATTTAACACAAGGGGAACACGAACAAGGGGACACAGGTGGAAACTGAGTGCCCAAATGAGCCACAGAGATATTAGAAAGAACTTTTTTAATGTCAGAGTGGTTGACAAATGGAATGCATTAGGAAGTGATGTGGTGGAGGCTGACTCCATACACAGTTTCAAGTGTAGATATGATAGAGCCCAATAGGCTCAGGAATCTGTACACTTGTTGATTGACGGTTGAGAGGCGGGACCAAAGAGCCAGAGCTCAACCCCCGCAAACACAACTAGGTGAGGACACACACTGTGACGACGCGAGAAAGAGACCTGGGGGTGGACGTAACACCTAATCTAACTCCTGAGACACATATAAATAGGATATCGACAGCAGCGTACTCTACACTGGCAAAAGTTAGAACATCATTCAGAAACCTAAGTAAGGAGGCATTTAGGGCGCTTTACACTGCCTACGTGAGGCCAGTCTTGGAGTATGCCGCCCCATCATGGAGTCCCCACCTGAAGAAACACATAAGGAAACTGGAAAAGATTCAGAAGTTTGCAACGAGACTCGTCCCAGCGTTACGAGGGATGGGGTATGAAGAGCGCCTGAAGGAACTGAACCTTACGACACTAGAAAAAAGAAGGGAGAGGGGGGATATGATAGGAACGTATAAAATACTCAGGGGAATTGACAGAGTGGAAATAGACGAAATGTTCACACGGAATAGTAACAGAACGAGGGGACATGGGTGGAAGCTGGAAACTCAGATGAGTCACAGAGATGTTAGGAAGTTTTCTTTTAGCGTGAGAGTAGTGGAAAAATGGAATGCACTTAAGGAGCAGGTTGTGGAAGCAAATACTATTCATAATTTTAAAACTAGGTATGATAGGGAAATAGGACCGGAGTCATTGCTGTAAACAACTGATGGCTCGAAAGGCGGGATCCAAGAGTCAATACTCGATCCTGCAGACACAAATAGGTGAGTACACACACACACATGGAACACACCACCAATCACCGCTCGAGATTTTATTAATAATAGCATCGTTTGCCGTGGCTGGCGCTCTATGCATCTTGCCAACCATCACAGACCCCCCCTTCCCTCCCCCCCTTCTTCTCACCCCCCCCCCCCCCCTCCTTTGCTGCCTCTCTTCCTCTCTCCCACGGCCCCTCACCCCCTCCCCTTGAACCTGGGGGTGTAACACGTAGCAGGAAAGAGTCCAGACTGGGGAAGATTGAAATATGGGAAGGGACAAGCAGCATACAAAGATGGAACTAGGGCGGGAGAGGAGAGAGGAAGAACAGCAAAGATGGAGGAGGAGTGAGATGGAGAAAGAGAAGGCGACAATCGACTCACAATCGACTTGAGAATGGTCCAGGACGGACCGAAACGTCGTCGTCCCTTCACCTTCTAGTGTGTGGTCTGGTCAACATGGAGGAAGGGAGGTGGAGGTGAACAAGTGAAAGAGAGAGTGGAGGGAGATGATTGATAACGATTAAGCCACCCGTGAGGTGGCACGGGCACGAATAGCCCGTGAAGGTAGATAATGGGATGAGGCGTAGTAGACAAAATAAGAGAGAAACAAAGAGAGGGAAGAAGGAGAGCTGCCATTAATCTATTTAAATATTCTAATACAAGAAATGGTACTCGTCTCTTTTTTCAACAGTTATTCTGCAACAGTCATCATTATGATGCATTATGATGAGGATGAGGATGATGATGATGATGATGATGATGATGACCTGCAACACCGCCGAGCGTGACACGTTAATCACCAAGCCTGAGTGTTTACCACACAATATTCAAGAGTGCTCTTCACTCTTTTATCCTTCACTCAGTCTGAGTTCAGAAATGAACCCCAAGATCTCAGAACGCCGCAGAATGCCTCAACCTCATAAAACTCACGAGATGATCAGAGGACGAGGAGGGGGGGGGGGGGATGGTACAGTTGTTAGTCAGCCCTACCTACCCCCTTCCCCCCCACTCCCCCCCCCCCCCACCCCCGCGCGTTGGCCTAAAGAGGCCTATATCGAATCTGGCCTCATGCTGCTGAATCCTCTCTAGTGCAGGGAGGAGGATCCTCTGTCTGCTGTTTTGCTGGCTGGTTTCAAGGGAGAGGGAGTCTGGGGGGAGGGGGGGGAAACAGGTGAAGAGGAGGAGGAGGAGGATGAGGTAGGTGAGAGGGAGAGGGAGAGGGAGAGGGAGAGGGAGAGGGAGAGGTGAGAGAGAGGAAGATAGGGAGGGAGAGGCAGGAAGGAGGACACAAGTGCTGGACAAACACTGCAGGCGACGCAGAAGGAGACACCCACCTGTGCATCCTATGGGACATTACACACCTGCCTCCGTCACGGGGGACATTACACACCTGCCTCCGTCACGGGGGACATTACACACCTGCCTCCGTCACGGGGGACATTACACACCTGCCTCCGTCACGGGGGACATTACACACCTGCCTCCGTCACGGGGGACATTACACACCTGCCTCCGTCACGGGGGACATTACACACCTGCCTCCGTCGCGGGGGACATTACACACCTGCCTCCGTCACGGGGGACATTACACACCTGCCTCCGTCACGGGGGACATTACACACCTGCCTCCGTCACGGGGGACATTACACACCTGCCTCCGTCACGGGGGACATTACACACCTGCCTCCGTCGCGGGGGACATTACACACCTGCCTCCGTCACGGGGACATCATCCCCTACCCCCCCCCATACCCCCGGGCACATCTGCTACCATAGTAGTGCTTCACTAGTTATAGCTCCAGGGAGCGAGACTCGGCTCCTGGGCCCCGCCTCATAGGGAACGCTCATAACAATACAAATACGGTTTTAAATAAACCAATTTTCAATAGAACTCGACATAAATTGTTTATATTTAAAATCTGGGTAAAATACTTGTTTGAAAACAAAAGAGTTACTGATGCACGGGGGACAAATTGTTGGGTGACATTATGAAACGTGGGATTGAAAGGAGTGTTTCAAGCGATAAACAGGATCTGCCTCGTATGAGGTCAATATAAGCCCTTATGCAGCTACCATTGTTCTCATGGCCTAAAGTGACCTCAAGTGCTTGGCTGTGAGTAGTTCTGCTGTTAATCATCTCTGGTTCAGAACCATTTCTACTGTGTACTTGTGCCCACTACCTGTGTACTAGTGTCCACTACTGTGTACTAGT